TCCTCTAGGGGTCGCTATGGGAAACCTAGAGGACGCAGTGTCTCATTCCCTACCCAGGGAACCATGGTTACATAAGTAACCTGAGACGTTTTCCTTTAATAAATTAAATATTGATTAATCATTAAATTTACGAAAGATATTCAGTCAGTTAATTATTTTCTTTTGTTCTTTGATTAACATTAATGATAGGCAGCACGTTTATTAGACGGCTGTCTCTTTAACACCGAACACACACAGATCTAAAAATACTGTTACACATGCGTTTTCTTTCTCATCTGTTTACGGCCACTTAAGACAAAAAAACCCGGCTGTGTTTATGATGATATACTGACGTATTTCGTGCATACTGGTCGATAAATGTGAAAGAGAAGTCAGTTCTGGCCCAATACAAGCTTTGTGGAAATGCACGGAACAGTTCGAGAACGGACACAGGTCGGGAACCTGCATTGGGACCACTGTTCTCTGTGCTCGCGCTTCAGATGTGTGCACTGCATGCAAACAGTGTGCAAGTTCTTTCCCTTCCTGCACTTAAATAGTTTAAAATCACATTAAAATGCGAACGTGAGAATCGTTAAGTGGAATCGAAATGCACATGTCTTATCGAATACCCGATTATTGGAAATTTGGAACCGGTTCTCGATACCCAACCCTACAAATAAGGATTAAATAATGCCCATGACAAAAAAAAAATCTAGTTTGAAACACCAGTGCCAAGAAATGTTGTTAGAAATGTAATATATATTTTATTTTTTCAATTTTGAAATTCATGTTAGTTTTCATTTTGTTTATATATCGGGTAGATGCGAAGCGGAAACGGTTGCCTCCGCAAAGAATCAGAATCAGAATCAGAATGAGCTTTATTGCCAGGTATGTTTACACATACAAGGAATTTGTTTTCGTGACAGAAGCTTCCACAGTGCAACAGAATGATAGTGACAGAACAAAAAAAGATAATTAAAAAAATAATAATAAATAAATAAATAATAGAACAAGTAAATAAGGAATAAAAATATACAAATCGACAACTGTATGTACAGGTATATACCAATAGACAGTTGTATGTACAGGTATATTATGTGCAAATTGAAATTTAGACTGAGTATGTGTGTTAGATAAATAAGTGTATGAGTGAATAAATAGTGTGTGTTCCACAGTTATTGTCAAGTGTTCATAAGATGGATGGCCTGAGGGAAGAAACTGTTCCTGTGTCTGGTCGTTCTGGTGCTCAGTGCTCTGTAGCGTCGACCAGATGGCAACAGTTCAAAGAGGGAGTGTGCTGGATGTGAGGGGTCCAGA